TATACAAGTGGAACTCCCCGTTTAATTCCTCAAGCAATACAAAGTGAAACCAATTGATTTTACATGTACCTTGAACAAAGGTATAAAAAAACACACCTTTGTTTAGTCTTTGACAATTCTTCTTTCTTGATGTGGATTACATGTACATGTATACAACACCTAGAACTTTACTTGTCTTCATCAAAGCTCACACTGACATGACTTACTTCTGAACACATGCAAAGCACATGTTTGTCCACACATGACACATGTGGAATGGCTTCGGGCCCTAATTATGACCTTATTAGGATGTGTATGTCCAAATAGTCAAATTTATGCAAATTAGTAAAAAACAAAAGTGAAGCCTATTTAGTACTTTTACAAAAGCTTGGGGCCTCATTTCCATTTACGCAAATGAGGTGGTAGTGGTTTCTGTACAGTGTAAAAGCATTGCATTGCCAGCAATGCATGGTTCTTACAGTGTTGGACGTACAGGGTGTCGGACGTACACATCTGATTCCACAATTTTTGAGGATTTGAAAAATAATTGGGGGAGTTAAGCTGATGTCTAGAAAGAAGGAACTCATTGTGCTTTGTATTGTAAATTTGGCAGCCTTTTGCTAAAGGGTGCACTCAGGGGATAAAAAACTATGTCATTTTGGTGTCGGAGGTACATAAGTATTTAAAACCAATTTTTCAGTATCATATAAAAGCCAAATTCCTGAATGTTGTTAGAAATGAAGTATGTTTCATGAAAGTATACACCATAAGCTTCAAAATTATATATAATTTGTCACATTTGGACCAGTCTGAAATTTTGGCCCAGAGGTTGATGCTTCTGTGGAACTGCCCATGTAGTATTTGTCTAGAAATTCAAAGGTGCTATTATAAACAACACGCTCGATGATCTTGGAAAATGATAAAAGTATACAGAGATTGGACAATAATTGTTTACCACTGCTGGGTCGCCAGTTTTAAAGGTTGGAGTAACTCTAGCCCTAACAGTCCTCAATCCTTCACCTGTTGGAGGACTAAGGACTGTTTGGGCTAGAAACCTTCATATCATTAGGAACTGCACCACTTGGCATAAAGTAGTTTACGATATGTGTAAGAGGCCTAGCATTAGTTGTTACAATTTGTTTCAGTAAAGAACTACTTATTGAATCAAAACCAGGACTAATTTTATTAGGTAAGTTAATTTCTTCTGTAGCAGGAGAGAGAAAAGTGCAATTTGAATTAGGGTTCAGTAAATAGTCACGGAAATTAAGATCTGAGGTATTTTTGCTAGCAAGATTTCTACCCACGGTAACAAAATAATTATTAAAATGATCAGCTATGAGTTGGGGGTTAATTACATTGGTAGCATCTATCTCAATCATATTAATTTCAGATTGCGGTATAGGAGTACAATGTTAACTATTCAATGTGTTTATATATTCCATTTAACATTCTCAAACTCTTTAGGGAAATTATTGCGTTTTGAGTTACAGAGGACATTGGTATCAAAGAATAGTTTTGTAATTCCCATACAGAGCTCAATTAGAGTCAGGGCTAGCTATAATATTTACAATAAAGCTTATTTTCACAGATATAGACTTGCATAAACTAATAGCAATCCAGGACATTTAGGTGTTAATTCTTAGATCTACATTTCTCTTGCTTAAAAGGGTTATGTTTGTCAAGACAGTCATTGATAATACCATAAAATGAATAAATGATCAATTGGCATCCTCAGCATTTAAATGGGCCTCCAGTCACAAGATGAATGATGATCATTAAAATTTGTTACATTTTCGGATGTAAAGTATTGGGCTAGACTATGTTGATATCTAACATGGTTTACTTTGAGTGAGTGTGAGGTGAATATCAGAAAGTGACCAGGTAATTGATAAGGGAAGTATATTTGTGATTATCAATTTGCAGCAAAGCTTCGAGTTTCAGTTGTGGAAATATAAAAGCATTATTTTTATTAGCATGAATAGGTAATTCAGCCTGAAATTTTTCACGAACTAAGGTTTTCTGATTTCAAAGTCAAGAATTGACTTAGAAAACACAATTTGTCAGGCCACTCCCATAGGTTTGTTCACCATGTTCACAGGGCTTCAAGTGATGTGCGTGAACGGAGCTATTTAAAAAAAAATTATTTTCACCTGTCAAGTATTTATGTAAAATGACTCTTACATGAAGCAGTCCCTACCCGGAGGCAGTCTAGTAATGGGCCCTATTTATGAGACTAAAATGAGCCACTTCTTCAGATTGCTGTTTTAGCAGGAATTGGCCTTGGCAATAACATGAATAATGGGGTGTCGTCAATGACGCCATCAGAAATTAGGCCGACTACAAACTCAGTACCGGTAACAGTTGAAATAAATCTAGGAAAGCACTAATAGGTAAATTAATGTTTCTTAAAACTGTGAGCTCGTGGATGACTCAAGTTTTCTAAATATCTTCCACGTATACTCACATTTTGTGTTGAAAACAGCCAACACCCCGACACCGGCAGCCTCTGTTCACCACTTTTCTCGGTTTTTTTTTTTTTTTTTTTTTTTGCGCTGTGACGTCGTTTCGACCGCCGCGTTTGACGGATCGGTCTCGTTCAAACTAAACCAACATATAAGGTACCTAAAGTTGGTATATATACTTAGGAACTACACAGATTAGTTATATATAACATAATAATATTTAATGATTTTTTCAAGTAAAAATCAATGAAAGGTAGAAAAATAAATCAATCAAAATGTAGAAGCTACATTGATTGTCTTGCCGAAAAAAAAACTGTAAACGCGGGCTTTTGTACTTTCGTGCCAACTGTGAATGCCGCGCGACTGTACTTTGCACCTGGATTTAGCAAACGCCGAGTCAGATGGTATCAAAAAGCGCATACACAGAAAGAATTTTGTGACTTTTGAAAAACGGGGTTTGAAATCTCACTTCAAGTTCTGAAGTATGCCCTCGACATAGGCCTAGAAGTTCTTTTCCAAGTTTCATTACTTGGATTAGGCCTTCCTGGAAACTTATCAGTGGCGTAGCTAGGATTTTACTGGTGGGGGCACAAAGGGCACCAGCTTTCAGTGGTGTGGTTTTGGGGGCAAGTTTTTGTTAGCCTTGTTCAATATCCATTCATCCCTTTTTTCAGGGGAGGGGGACACCTGGGGGCACCGGGAATTTGTGGGGGCACGTACCCTCTCAGGACCTCCATGGGTACGCCACTGAAACTCGTCGGCGTAATTAAAAATGCACTAATAACCAATCAGATAATAATTAGGCTTTCAATCACAATATCCGGCAAATAGATCTCGTCATACAATCAACTAATCAATTTAAACTGTCTGCCCATAATTGAGTCACGATGTAAACTTATCATTCATGCAATTAACACGTTTTAAGTCATTGCAAGGGTTTTCTTTAATCCAATCAGTGATGGCTGCATGGATGTTGCCCGTCACTCCGTCACTCACAATTAAGATGTCACCTCAACTGGTTCTCTTTTACAATTGCTGCTAAGTAAGTATAAATGGTTTAAAACATCCACATCGACTGATAATGCACGTCTGTTCTTCGTGATGCGCAACTCTTCCTTTCCTGAAGCTTCCACTGTGGATGTCAGAGGTATGCACCGTATGTTAGTAAGGAGGGCCTAACTGATGTTGAAGCATAGATTGAAAATCGCACACAAAACAGCGAACTGTTTTTCATATTTCTAAAAAAGGATGAACTTGAAATTGACAGGTGGAAACCCTGACAAGGACGTATGCCGCAGGCATAAACGTGGTAGAAGTGACCTCTGAAATGCCGTCAGAAACTCGGCTGCAGCCGCTCAGTGTCGTTGGTGGCATGCATTTCTTGGCTATAAGCAAGTCACTTGAACCTACTCGCTCTGATTGTTCTCAGCCTCGTAACAGTTGCTGATCAATGCATTTCCACACTTGATCGAACTGATTTTCATGACAAATGGATGCTCAGTGATTTTCTACTCACACTATCAGGAATTGTCGTCCCGACGTTTTATGTCCTGAGTTGCCTGTCCCTCATCCGTTGATCGGTATATCGCCATATCTACCCACTTAGCTACTTGGAACTTATGAAACCGTGCAAGGTGGAAGTCAAAGTCGCTTGTGTATGGACTATCACTTTTATACAGGTAGTATTTATACACTACAAAACGAAAATATCAACTCTTTTCGTGAGACCCCGCACTTTATTCTTAGAACCAGTAACAGAATATATTCATGTGGATTACTTACGCACGTATACGTTTTGACATCTCACTTGAAACATGAGCGCCAATATAGACAAAGCAGGATCACCAGTTTAATACAAAAGGCGCAGATTTCAATGTTGCACTTGGCCCTATACCCAGGAAAGAATCGTGTGCATCTTATTGCTGGCCCTCAAAAGACTGATTAGATGTAGCCTGGAGTTTATTATGCATCAATAAACCGTTCTACCGTACTGTGCAAATTTCAACCAGTTACAACAATGCAAAACACAACATCGAGTATATTATATAAGGACTACAGTTCAGTTATACCACAATGGAGTAGATTGATCACGCGACGGACAACTTAATAAAATCGACGTTTGAACAGTCAGCCGGCTAATAAAGCCTGGTAATCCCGGTGACACTAGTGGCAGCTTAATTTTCATTTTTAAGCTGAGGGTTGCTAAATATACAAAGTCATTGACAGCTATGACGAACACAGTGATTTTATCAGTATCCTCAACCATCCTTGCAGCGGCGTTTATGACAACTCTGATGACTTGCGACAGCGTAATGTAGATTCGTCATCCACACTCTTTCCGATCTCCATATACTGTACGAGTAACACTACCATGCAGTAAGATGGAAAACCTCACAAACATAAATGGCACAGACAATGTTGCGGTTGCACTGACCACCGAAATAATGGCAGTGGCTCCTCTGGGGTCGCTCAGTGTGATTGGTATCACCTTCTTGATTCTCACGATCGTCCTGGTTGTCACGCTGAATCCACTCTGCCTGCTTATTCTCCGTCGCGCCAGCGGCATCCAGGAAACCACCAAGATGTTCATGGCCTCGCTCACTGTTACGGATCTCTGCAGTGGGATTTTTGTCGCAACTCCACTGTTGTTGGAATTGATAAATAACGGCACCTGGGTGTTGGGCAATTTTCTCTGCACGATATCAGGAATCGTCACTCCAACATTTTATACCTTAGACTGCTTGTCCCTTGTTCTTTTAAGCGTTGACCGATACATCGCTATCATCCATCCGTTGCGCTACTCAAGTTTGATGACAAAGCGGTCAGCAGGAATCAGCATCGGTCTTTTGTGGGTCGCAACATTTACAGTACATATTGTTTGGTTTGGCATATTTGTGAGAAGTGAAGTAAGTGGCAGTGGGAATTGGTGCGTCTTCCCTTGCCAGAGGTGTTTCTTTTCATACCACTGCGTATATGTCGTCTCTGTTGGGATTATCGTGGTAGTCTACGTTCGCATTCTTAAAGTAGCTCGAAGTCAGGCCCGTCGCATCGCTGCTCAGAATCACATTGGCAATCCCGCAAGACAGAACGAACCACAACCAGTCAGTACCAAGTCTGCTTCCACCGTGATCCTCATAACGACCGCCTTGTGTGTCTGCTGGGCTCCGTCGTTTATCGCGCTGTCATTGTACGCGTTTGGCGTTGCCATCAGTTCAACAGCTCTCATTGTAATACAGACCGGCTTCTTCACGAATTGCTGGCTGAACGTGGTCATCTATTATTGGAGGAACCGGGAACTTCGCCAAACGATACACAGAGTAGTCTTTTTATGCTGCCACTGACATTTCTATGTCAACTTCATAGGCGGATCTAATGAGGGGGGGGTGAGGAGGGTTGCAACCCCCCTTCAGCTTCGGACTAAATGGAACTTCCAAGGAAATGAAGGAAAATGAGTACAAAAAAATCTGAAGGTGGAAACTCTGGTGTTAATTTAACACCGTGAGTATTATCGGAGACAATACCAGACTGGGTGTAGTCCTCTGATAACACCCATAGGGTGTTAAAATAACACTAATTTGACACCACGGCTTTTGCAGTGTACAATAGCACTCGTGTGCATCAAAGTTGGAAGCAGTAGCCTATTAACTCACATATAACTTATGTAAGACGTACTGGAAACACTTGACACTTGGACTACAATATACATTTACCCATTATACTGACGGTAGCTGTTGAAACGGAAATTGACACTGACCTGAAGTTTCTTTGTTATCGTACTTCTGTTATACGTGCTATGTGGAATTTCTGACAAATGGCCAATTACATTGATTCTCGCTAGTTACGATAATCTGACTTTCGTTACGAGCATTTTAAGAGATGGCACTTAGTAGACCCATGTAGCCAAGTCTGACTTCTTAATGTTGCTTACGTTATGCAATTTAATGATTCATTACACTACCAAATATGTAGAGACACAATATCCTACAAAACAGATTGTTGGTCGTTCAGATCGTGTGGCCCCTTCATTTCTTCATCATGAGTATTGGTAGGAAATCTGACAAACTGGTCATGAGTGTCAAAAAGTAAAAATTTTGATGAGTTGAGATTTCTGGTTTTTCCTCATCGCTATAACCTGGGTACGTATGATGACTTATTAAAGAATGTCGGTGGAAAGTGCAAGTTAAAAGGCGCACGGCATTGCGTGTGAAATAATTTCATGTCCACAATTCAAGCTTGACTGTCTTTCTAAAGCTAAAACATGAACACATCGATTAATGTATATACAAATAATACCTTTCCTACTCTCTACATCTTATGAATTCAGAGTCAATATACTGCACATTACTACTAATCCCAGATCAAGCCTGTGTTTGATGTAATAAGCCACTTATAATTGAAAAGGCAAAGTTCTAAACACAGTTTATACAACCAAATCAGCTGAATGCTAAAATCAGAAGCCTTTTATTAACTTGCAGCACGCGATCTTGTGTTCACAGAGCCTCCGTTCATCAAAATCGTCAAAATGTCACTTGAAATACATGAAACTTAAATGTGATTAAAAATGACACATGTATGGGTAATAATTAGCATATCCCGATAGGAATTAGCATGTCAAACACACACTCCGGTAAACACGTCTCGTCATACAATTCCACTTTGTCCACTTCAGCAGTCCATCATTTTACCACAGATTCATGGGGTTTAAAGTGATTGCAAGGGTTTTCATTCAATAAATATCCCAAAAGAGTTGGCTGAATGCTGTCCATCAGTCATGCCAACTCAATTTGTGTGTGTTTGTTTTGTTTTGGTTCTTTTTTTAGTTGCTGGTAAGTATAAAACCCCCGCACGGGCAGTATTAATGCGCATGATGTGTGCTCTTCGTGATCTCTAACTCTTCCTTTCCTGAAGACATTGCTAACTCCACTGTGGCTTCCAGATGTATTTTTAAGAGCAACTGATTGTGAAATATAAAGATTGAAGATCGCACAAAAGCAGCAAACTATTTTCAAATCTCTAAAAAAGCGGTGACCCTGAAAATGGCAGGAGGAAATCCTGACATGAATGTGCGCCGTCGGCATCATCATGGTAGAAG